TAGAGCAGCAGCGATGGTTGAAAGAGGTGCCAAAGAAGACACAGAGAAAGAGGGCAGGTGTTACTGTACTCCTTGTACTTTAATTCTCAATCTGGTCTTAAAAAACCAACCAACCAAAAAACCCCACTTGTATAAAATGTGTGCAGGTAAGGTTTGTTTTTCTTGCTTTCTTTGAAGATGATTGTTTCTATTGCAAGGTCTTGGTCCCTTGTAAAAGTTGGTTGCCTAGTTCCTGCCATACCTTTTGTGCCTGTTTTGCATCGTATTTGCCCTCTTCTGGTGGCAAATGACAGCCACCATGTTTGGCATGATTTTTATGCAAGCACCGTGCTGCTTGTCATTTGTTTGTTTTGGTTTTTTTTTTTCATTTGTTCAGAGCTGCTCTGGCTCCTGTCCAGCTGCTCACCTGGCCGTGTAGCACTGGTGCAAGCCCTGGGCTCCTGGGTGGCTTCAGAGCTGGGAAATCTGTGTGCAGCTGCTGCCCGGGTGCTGCTCAGTGGGGGATTTTGAGGAGCATTAAAGTGAGATGTTTATGGGCAGATGGCTGCAAAGAGCTTGAACAAACAAGTGTGAATAGCTGGAGCATGTACGGTGCTGACTTGAAACTTCGTAGAAGTTTCGAGGTCTCGAACAATCCAATGTCTGTTGTCGCTCACTAACTGTTCTGGCAGGGCAGGATGCTGGAAGATGTCATGCAGTGGTAAGTGCAAAAATATCTGGCTCTTGCATCAGTGGTGAGCAAGAGCCCTTGATCTTCTGTTGTGTTCCACTAGATAGCAGGCAAGGCCATCAGTCGTGAAGGGTCCTGCTTCATTGATTCATTTCCTCAAGGAAGAAATACCTTGGGTTCGCCAGTGTGCTGGGCATCCTTGCATGTCCATTTGCATTCAGATTTGGGTAGGTTCAGCCCCGTGAAAGCCTGCCTAGCAGCAGGTTGGGAGCAGAGTGTGCACAAAAGCACTTGGGATGTTCTCTGCATCCATGTGTGGGCTGCGTCAAACTGGCTGGGCAGTTCAGGCTTTTTGCTGTACTTTGGTTATTAAAGCTATGTGGTATGTTTAAAGCTATGTGGTATGTTTAAAGCTAGAAGAGACAGGTTACAAGCATGACATTCTGTAGAAGTGAATATTGGTGGCTTATCTAGCTGCTGGCATTTTGGTTTGTCACTGAAGGTGGCTATGCAGCTGAATCTAGGCTTCATGGCTGTCGTTCAAACTGCACTGCTATGCATGCTCTGGTTTTTCCTGGTGGATATATTATATTGCCTCTACTTAGGCTGCCTGTATATGATGAAGGCTTTTTGCATATTGCAAATAGCGGCTGAAAAGCTGCTTTTAAAGTGCAGCTTATTTTTGCGCTAGTGAGAGGCTTCTGCCAGGTTGTGCTTCTCTTCCCCACTCCCTATTATTGCCCTGTGTAACGCTTCCTTCATGCCTCAGGTTTGGGAAGGCTTGAGCAACTTCAACCACAAAACAGCTTCTGGTACAATGACGAGTGGAGCCTCTGCATCCATACCTTGAGCTTCCTCATGATCCAGAGTTGCTGTCAGTAGCAGTGATATGTCTTGGTCCTTGCTGAGTTTAATGAATCGGATCAGGCTTGCAGTAGCTATGTGTTGGCCTGCTCTCTTGGTACAGCCTCTTCTCTCCCACCGCTTCTCCCCCACTGCATGAAGATTTTAAATGCTGAAATAGCAGCTGCTCGACAAAGGAATACAGAAGCATTTGAATTTGTACATTGTATTTACCTTCATATGGAAAGTCCATCCCTCTTTGACTGACTGGTCATAACGAACCTTGCTTGGACCTTTTTTGGGAAGTAGTCTCACAAGCTTTAGAAAAACCTGAGCATTATGCATGCATGACCTCCACTTAAATTACCCTAGTGCCTCATAAATTAGCTAGGAGCAAGGATCATGTGTGGTGAGCATGGCGAGAGTGGATTAAGGGAACAGCACTCATGAGGTGTCTGGATCCTGTTTTGGGACCTGCATGACTTGTATGGCAGTGCAGATCCAAGCTAAGCTTTTTACTGTTGGCTTTAGAGTTCAGCTAATGACTGCATTTTGCTGCATCCTTCTGGGTACTAGTGTTCTTGTCCAGTCCTCCCTTGTTCACATGTCTGAGCCAGTTCAGGTTAGTAATCCTCTCCCCAACAACGTGTTGTTTCAGCAATATTTGCTCTGAGAGTTGCTTGATTATGGTACTTTAAGTATTGCTTGAACTGACTTTTTAATTCCCTGCCAGCATGAGGGAGGAAAGCAAGGAGAGGGAGGATGTAGACTGACATTAGGAAAGGTGACTTCTGCACTGGTGAATGTCAGGAAAGAAATAGTGCATGAAGCTATTGTATGTTTGGCTACTCCACTTATTTGGGCATCTTCTGCATGGTGTATTTGGGGTTGTCTTCCTGTCTTTTGGCCTGGTGCTCCTGCTGGAGTGGTGGGGATTGCCCTGCACCTCTTAATCTCTTCTGGGTACAGTGATAACAGAGTTCTGCACAATGTAATGTCCTCTCCTCCCTGTTCTCACCTGCTGGACCAAAGCTCACACTGAGGAAGAGTTGGTAACAGGAGTAACAGTGTCTTCTGGCCAACAGGGCAGGCAGAGGCCCTGAGAGGAGGACAGAGGTGGTGAGGAAAGAGCTCGCTCTAGACTCTCCAGCTCTGCTGTATCTTGCAGGGTGGCTGGCTGGTGAAGCAGGATGGTGTCTGCCACACCATCAGTGTGTCTGCACCTGAGTGATGAAGCAATGGGATCCTACCTCTGCCCATGGCAGCTTACTCCCAGAAGGCTGCAGGAGAGATGGAAAATGAGTGTTGGCTCTGGAGTCACTAAAGCAGCTTACCTTTTAGGGGTTTTCTTGTGAATCCCAGCATGCTCTGGTCATTGTTTAAACAGCAGTAGTTAAGCTGAATGGATTGCTTGCCTATGCAGAAGGATGGGAATGTGGGTTAGGGCTTAGCCTTTAGCCTAGACTCTGGGCTGGGGCTGTTGGTTTGGATGAAACTTCAAACATCTTCAGCTTAGGGACCATAGTGGTGTTTGTTTTTCTTGATTGGACTGAGCAGACTTTTCAGACCCTGTCAAGGCCAGGTGGTGCAGTTGGCAGTCGAGCTCAGGTTTTTGTCCTTGCTCTTCTTCCCGTCCTGTTCCCCTGTCGTAACAGCCTCGCGAGTAGAGAACTTTAAGGCAGATCTGTGTTCTCTGTGTCCTGTAAACAGCACAAACAGACTAGCATGCTTCTGAGGTGGGGGTAATACTCTGTGTTTTGTGGGCAATTCAAGGATTTCTGGGAAAATGAGTTACTGGCAAGCATGTGAAGGACAGAAATCTGGACAATAAAAAGGGCACTTGTATTAGAGGGCCTCAGCTGGTTGTAACCTAGTCTGGGTGCCCCATGCTCATTGAGTACTCTGTAGGGCGCAGAGATGGTCCCTGGGTGGGTCCTACCCTGTGGGCAGGTGCATGGACATTTGGAGTTGCAGCACTCAAGACGTAGGCATCGAAGCCCTTTGTGTGTGATCCAGAGCCCATCTGGCAGCGTGTTGTGCTCTGTTTTAAAATCTTCCTTTGCTAGATCACTGTGAAAGAGCATGGAGAAGACAACTAAGCTCTTTTCTGCTTTTTTTTTAAAAATAACATTATTGGGATGGTGACATTCAGCATTTATTTTGGCTAGTGTAGCTCTTTCTAGTAACTTCAGCGTAGCTCTCCTCCCTCCTGGGTTTTTGTTTTTTGCTTTTTTTTTTTTTTGGCTTGCATTTAACAAAATGCAGTTGAATCTGAACACTTGGCCCGTCTCGATGTGGTGCATGACTCCAAGTATCCTGGTACAACATAAACGTGCGCTTTTGTGGGCGAGGCGGGGGATATATCATTGCATTTCTCCTCTTTCCGCCTTTTTCTTTTGGAGGAGCCACCTGTTAGCATTACATCAGCGGCTCCCAGGAACGCTGCCTCCTACCAAAGGCCTTACACAAAGTAGTTCTTCTTGTATTGTTTGCGCTCAAAGAGCTGATGTCATGCCAGCTGATGTCATTGTGTGCTTTGTGTAATCGCTATGGAAACCGGGCAGGTGGGGAGCCTGGGGCTGATGTAATTGCCGAATGAGGTGTAGAAAGAAGGTCTGCTTTTCTTGCTCCAGTTCTGCGGAGCCGCCCTCCTGAAAAAAAAAAAAAGGGGGGTTGGGGGGGTGGGAAATGCTGCTTGAAAAAGCCAGCAAGATGTGCAATAGAGCCAGGGGAGGCATGAGCCAAAAAAGTGACTTCTCCCTCCTGCTTCGGATCCATTTGCCAATCCGTATTAATGTCCTAAAAATAACTCTTGCTAGATATTTTGAGGCAACCGGGGCAGAAAAAGGAGAGCTGTTGGCCACATGTTAAGTGAGCACCTCAGTCGCTGTTAGGTTACAAGGAACGGTTTTCTTTTGTTCAGCCGTACAAACGCGTACGTAGGGTTCCCTGGAGTGATGCTGGCATGAGCTGCACCCACCCCTCCTCGGGGGTGTTGGATGGGGGGGATGCACTGCAGGGCTGCCCCGCCTGTGGACAGGTAAAGCCGAAAGACTGTCCCAGCTGTCTCACTGCTCTGCTTTGGTGTGCTGCTAGCCCATTTGCTCGTAGTTTTGGCGATGTTTTCCATCTTGGAAAAATGCCTTTTGTCTTGCCCTCTCCTACCCCCCAGCCTTTGCTGCCTCCCACGGGCTTGTAGGTGAGGCAGCCGCAGCGCACTGGTGCTGCACAGAGGCATGTTTGTCTGTGAGCCTGTTCCTTGGCACCGTCAGCCTCGTGGAGAGGAGGACAATGCGTGCTGCTGATTCATGCCGCCCTTGCCGTTGGCGGTCATGCCCAGCATTGGTCACCGTGACAGCGGTGGTGGGGACAATAGAGCCAGCTCCAGTCCTGGTGGCCCCAGCACGTGCTCTGAAGAAAGGTGGGTCCAAAGCGTTGCTGACTTCGGGGTGTCTAACCAAAATATCTGCTTGGTCTCTCTTCCCAGGAGGACTCAGTGGTTTCAAGCAGAACCATGAAAACCTCTGCGATAACTCCCTCCAGCTGCAAGAGTGCCCTGAGGGGGGAGGAGGGGGCGGCGCGTCCGCCGTGCCCCCCACGCTACCTCAGTCCATCCCCACCACGCCAGACATCGAGAATGCTGAGCTCACCCCCATCCTGCCCTTCCTCTTCCTCGGAAACGAGCACGATGCTCAGGACTTGGAGAAAATGCAGAGGATGAACATAGGCTACATAATCAATGTGACCACCCACCTGCCCCTGTACCATTACGAGAAAGGCATGTTCAACTACAAGCGGCTCCCGGCCACTGACAGCAACAAGCAGAATCTCAGGCAGTATTTTGAAGAGGCTTTTGAGTTCATTGGTAATTACCCTTGACTGGAAATACTCCTGTGTTTGTCTTTTTTACCTGATGTTAGAATCTAGAGTGAATTTTTTGCTTTGCTAACTACCCTGAAGGCTGCGTAATGCCATATTTACTTCTGTTTATGTTGTCAGAAATTCTGAGTGCATCCATGTTTCTACTCATTCTCATCTCTGGCATATCCAGTTAAGTAGCCTGGGGGTACAATTTTTATACATTGATAGTGATGCCTGCCTCCAGGTTTACAAATTCAGGAAACCCCAGAAAACTGAGACTTTTGTCATCCCCTCTTCTTGATTCCTTTGCGTTCCTAGTTTCCACAGTGGCTTCTAGCCAATTTTTCATAGTAACTATACTTAATGATGGCTGAGTCTTTCCTAACTTAATTTCATGAGAAAACTGATGAACTTTCACACTTTGCTTGTTCTGCCATTAGATTTGTAACTTCAGAGTGTATGTGTGGATGACTGGATTGTGATGCAAACTTGTATTAATAAGCCCCTAAACTCTCTAGGCTGTGTGAGAGAGTTCACCACAAACATGCAGCTTGTTGGGAAGGTTGCTGAAGAAATGACCCAGCAACGTTACCCACGTTGCTCTGAACCTTGCTACAATCCACGCAGTACAGCACTTAGCCAAGTTTAGGGGTGCATTCAGCTCTGGTTGGTCATCTAGGCTAAAGCCAGATGGCCTTTTTAAGCAAGGCTGGTCAGTGAGGACATCAGCATGTGATACTGAAAGCTTTTGAGGACCTTCCCTTGCCCCTCTATGTCTCTTGTGGGCACAGCTTTTGCAGCATAGTGAATGTCCATTTGTGCTTCCCCAGCGCAAGTATGTTTTCTGAAATATGCTGGGGGGACCACTGACATATAATTTTATTTTCTTGTGCCAAGGTTGGGCTAATCTCTCTACCCATACTTCAGCCTTGATGGTGGAGGACTAGACAGAAGAAGTGTGGTTCTGTGCTGTGTCACAGCTTAGGTTCTTAGCTGACTCCATGCTGAAGTGGGTGCAGAGCTGTCTTCCTCCCTGCCCTCAAACGATCAATGTTTATGGCCCTCGAGTCAGGGTGTGGGTACATGGCTCCTGAAACTTGAGTCTGCTTGGGCTGGCTCTGTGGAGGTGCTCTCGGGCTCAGCAAGAATTGGGCCCCAGTTGTGGGACTGGGTCCCAGGGCAGGAGGTCCAAGCTCAGCATATTCTTCTGACCCCATCTGCCTCTGCCGTATGCCTGCTCTGAAGCAGACAGCTCGTCAGCCTAGTCTGGCTGTGGTTGGGTTGGCAGGGGGTCATCCTGCGCTGATGCATGCAGTCTGTAGCCATGCTACTTCAGTGAAGCTGAAAAGGTAAATCACTGCTTACACTGCAGTTCAGATGGAGTGCAGCATTAAAGCATGAGTCTTATCACTGAGAACTTCTGTCTGGAGCCCTTGGGCTTGTCCTCTACAGTGGAGAGGACCAAAGGATCTCTACTTAAAACCAGATTTTCCCTAGTGTTCTTAACCCAACCCCGGCTCTACCAGTAGTGCTGTCAGCTCCCCAAACTGCTCATTCCTATGTGTGTGGGAAGGTGAACACCCCTTTTTGGGTGAAGGGAAGCCCTCTTTGAGGGCAGGGAAGAGGGAACCTCACTTTGATCCTTTGGGAAGAAAAGCTGGGTCAAGAAATCCAGTAAAACCTTAAACTTTGAATTCACCAAGATGAGGAGATGCAATAGGCTAAGCTTATGTAAAGAAACTGCAAAGCTCTGAGGTCCTCTGGAGGTGGGAGGGAGATCTCTGCACCCAGCATCCCTATGAACTGCAGGATTAGAGCTCTCGAAACCACTAAAAGATAGCGTTTGGCTTATGATCTTACCAAGGGCAGAGAAAGCAGCCTTGCTCAGAAGAGGTTTAGAAAGTCTTTCAAAACCCCATTTACTTTCCTTTTTAATAATTACAGCTTGAGGGTCTGTCTCTGTTTTTAATAAACAAATATTTCTCCATTGAGAGTTTTTCTTCATAGCAAGTTTAGCCAGCTGGGGAAGTAACTAGTCAAAGCTTTCCCTTCCTCAGGGTAAACTTTAAATTGCATTTGAGAAGATTTGGAAATGTTTAAACAGCAGATCATTGGCCTATGTTTCTTTAAATGTCTTGAAAAAAAAACCCACAACCAAACCCAGGTTTAGCTAAGACTAAAGCCATAGGAAGTGAAATCATCAAAAACTCTCTGGGAAAGTGTGTCAAAATGCATTAGAGAGTTTCAGCTTTCTGAAAGACTAACTGGCAAAAATGTCTAGAGGGAAGTCTGCTTCATTTATGCTTTCACAATACAGGTTGAACATGTGGGGTAGGATGAACCATACTCTTGGTGGGGTTGGATTCATGCCAAAACTTGCAGACTAAATTCCTGCTCATCCTGCAGATTAAAACAAAAGAATAAGATGTCACATCTTGAAAGCTTTATCTCCTGTTTTAAAAGCAAGCTGTGGGATATGAGGATGGTATGGTAGTGACTCTCCTCTTTCTCGTGTCCTATTAGCCTGTGGTTCCAGGGCCTTCCGTCCTCCCTAAATCCTTCCCAGGTTGCATCCCTCTAAGTGATATATCTTGGTGGAGAGCACGTGATTGTTGACGTTTCCCTCCCTCCCCACCTCGTCCTTTGCCCACTGCTCCCAGTGAGAAGCTCTGGAGGGATAGCATTCAGCAGAATGCAATGCTGTGCTTGAACCACGAGGAGATAGGGACGGCAAATCCCTTTTTCACACCACTGAAGGTGACCAGTTCAAAACATCCAGAGCTTGACATGCAGGAAGCGAGGAATCAGAATTTGAGGCCTCTTACCAGTGAGGTATAAACTGGATCCAGCTCCTGCTTTTGCAGAGACACCACAGCAGAGTGCCCTGTTGAAGCTCATTTCAAGAGTAGCTTTGTAAAAAGCCTCAAAGAATAGGGCTTTGAAACAGATGTATTGTTATGAATTGAATCTGAAAAGACCTGTTTTTTGAAAAGGTGGTGTCCTGCTTTGAGCGACAGGGAGGTTGAGATGACGACATAATGTGGCGTTGTGACAGAGGTGGAGCCCGAGCTGCCTTGTCATGGGCCTTGACCTCCTAAATAAATGCTCCCTGGCAGCGCACGTGAGCAGCACAGCGGCATCTCTCAATGTGCTGTTGGTCTAATAAAGAGATAAAAGTGGACCTGAGGATTTTCAGTGTTAGGCTGGCCTGTGTGTTTCACATTCAGTAACTCTGAAACCCCAAAGGAAGATGGACTGGAGGGGAAGGGGAGGAGACACTGGTGTGCTTGTAATCAAATAAAGGGACTTTTCACATTAAGTTCCTCTCTTAATTGTACTGAGCTTTTTCTAATTTACAAACTGGCAAAAATCTTACTTTCTCCTTTCTTTCTCATTTCCAGAGGAAGCTCATCAGTGTGGAAAAGGTCTCCTCATCCACTGCCAGGCTGGTGTCTCCCGATCTGCCACCATAGTTATTGCATACTTAATGAAGCACACACGCATGACCATGACGGATGCCTATAAATTTGTGAAAGGCAAACGACCAATCATTTCTCCTAACCTTAACTTTATGGGGCAGTTACTGGAGTTCGAAGAAGATCTAAACAATGGTGTTACACCGCGAATCCTCACACCAAAGTTGATCGGCGTAGAGACCGTCGTGTGATGGTGAAGCTGTGAGGAGGTGGTCAATGAAGGGGTTAACCTATTCTTCACCTGATTTGGGGCAACGACGGGTGGGTTGTGGGTTTTTCTTTTTAGCTTTCAAGGGGGGTTTTGTGGCAAACTTTTTGTGAATAAAAACCTTTTTTTGTAAGGAAAGGTTTTTAAAAGATCCAAGAACTTCGCCATGTTTGGGATGCTGTTGTGATTTCCTTCCCAGATGCCGGCAGAGCAGGGAGGCTTCGGAGCAAAAGGAGTACTTTTAAAAATCAAAATAATAAGAAGAAACATTGGGCTTTTTCCTTTTTATTTTTCCCTCCTCTCTAGCTACTTGTAGAGTTTATGGTTAAGTAGTCTGTGCAGGTTCATAGACTGAAGAAACCGAAGTTGAAGACGCAACAGAAGCAGCCAAAAACAAAGCAGAAAAAAACCTCCCTGAAGCATAAGGGCCTTTGTTCTGCAAAGGCTTTGCTAAAGATAACCTAGCAAAACGCTCACTGATGCAAAGGAAATCGGAGCAGCTTAAAAATTCTGCAAGGCACTTTTCACACTCCTGACTCAAACTAAAGAAGAAAAGACAAAAGTTTATTTGGCGTGTTTCATGTTCCAGTTCTATTTTTCTATTTTGGGGTGTAAGGTTTTAACAGTAAGGGACTTTGATCATTCTATGCCATATGCCTTCACTGGCTTCTTGTGCAATAATAATTTGGGGTTTGTTTTGAGTGTTCAAACCAATTGGAGTTGGCTGCCCACTAATAATAAGATGACAATTTTTAAAGTCTAATAGTGCAACGGCAGCCAGCTTGGTTCAGAAAGGATAAATGAGAGCAATTATTTCGTTCCTTTATATGATTTTGATCCTGGTTACAGTGCCATAAACCTTGTTGCATATGTATATCAGAATGTACAAAAATCAAGAACGAGCAAAGTTTATTTAAAAATATTTTTCGCACAAAATATTGGTGTGTTTCAGTTGTCTATGTAAAAAAAGAATTTGATTATAAAACAAAAAATCTTTTGGAAAATGTGTGTCCTTTTATTTCTTTAGCAATTTTCCATTTTCTTTCTATGGGATGGGTTTTTGTTCTGTTCTTTTTGTTTTGTTTTTTTGTTGCAGCGTTCATCTCCCTTTGACAAAAGTGATCTCTTGTTTGGCATCTCCTCTTCAGTGTCTCGTTCCTGTCCTCTGCTATTTTCTGCTGTACTCTTGCATCCTTCAATTTCTGTAACCAGATTTTTCTCTCCTGGAAGTGCATCAGTTTTGGAGCTGTTCAGCTGAACTAGCACTATTGGTGAGGGCTTTTTGTGACAGACTTGTTATTTCTACAGCTCCAGTAGCGATTTGGAAAAATAAGAGATAAACATTCTCAACTGATTGCTTTTCATCTTACTGCCATTAGCTTACTGTTAAAAAAATTGTCCGGTTTCTAGAAATACATTGGTCTTGTGTGTGCTTTTCCCTGGCTTCTCTATAGCCCCCTCCTTTAGCAGTTCCACGATTCCTGGGAATCCTCCTCCTGGGGTTTTCCCTTCTCTCTTACCCATCTTTCCTTCATCCCCCTCCTTTTCCAGCTGTCAGTGTTAAGTGTGTTGTGTATTGTAGGGCTGATGTTTCTGCCTGACAACGTCCCTTAGGTGGCTGACTTTTGCTTTCTTTGTTTGTATTTACTTTTTTTTTTAATGATATGGTATAACCTGATCTCTTCTGGACCGTTGCCAACTCTAAAGTTTCTTTGTATGAGCGTAAAATGAGTTGGAAAATATTTCTCGTATGATTCTGTTGTGCAAACTGATATATCCCAGGAAGTCTGATAGCAGTGAAGGTTTTTCCTAGATGAAAACATAGATGGACTGAACCAAGTTTAAAACAGGACCTGTCGGAAAACTTATGTATAATCACATTAGACATGTATATTTTTGTGGACATTTTACTTATAATGTTGTTATTATACAGATATTTTCTTGAAACTTATCCCTTTATTAAATTATTTTTCTACTGGAATTGATTTTTTTTTTTTTAATTCTTTTCTGTGATCAATATTGGTCCTTTTGCTGAGATGCCCTTGGCAGCGAGCATTGCCCAGGAGGCAAAACCTCTCGGGCTGTGACCGCTCGTGGGGTTAAGGAGAGAGTGGCTGGACAGAGAAGTTTCCGTTTGCTGGTTGGGAGCCATCGTGCTCCAGGAGGAAGGAGGTCCCTTAGTAAAGATGGTCTCCTTCCCTCCCTCACCCCTTTCCTTGTGTTTGGCCCTAACCTCTCCCAGCTGTTCGCCATGAACTGCAGGTGCAGGTTGTTTGATAGCAGGGAGGAGGTTAGAAAACCTCTTTGTTTCTTGCCAGAGAAGCGAGCAGCGGCAGGGCTGAGGGCTGGCTGAAAAGTTGGTCCTTGCAGCCCGTGTTCGTGGCTGTAGGTGCTGCATAACAGCGCACGAGGGAAGCGGGTTATTCGGCAAGGGGAGCGTGCGAGCTGCCTGCCTGGGACACAGCCTTCCTACGCGTGAGGGGAGGGAGGACTAGATTCAAAATTGGGTCTTCCCTGTTACTCCTGTTTTCTCGTTCCTGGGCTAAATGGCCTGATGCGAACGTCTCCAGCGGGGAGGGGGGCCTGCCGCGCGTCCGCTCTGGTTCAGCCTCAGCCGCCACGTGCTGCCTTGGATCAGGATCAAGGTTTCAGCCATGTAAGTTCTGGCGTTTCGTTCTTATTTAAGCCAAAGAATAGCCCTCTCAGCCCTGAGTAAGTTACTGGCAGCAGAGGGGCCGATGCATTTGCCTTGGTAAGGCTGAGCATTGCTGCTGCGTGCACAAACGTGGAGTTTGGAGGGCTTCCTACCGCAGAAACCCCGCTGGCCTTTGTGCCCGTCGTGGTGAGAAGTACTGCCTGATTTTGCTCTCCAGCGTGGTGAACTCGGAAATGATGGGGCAGGGCGATGCGAGGCTGTGAGCGAGCAGAGTTTGCTGTGGGTCTGTCGGTAGCGGAGATAAGCTGGATCAAAGCCCTCCTTTGTGCAGACCCCTTCTCTTGGAGGGGACTGGAGCTGGGCTGGTGGAGAGGAGCTCGGGAGGGTTACGTCCCGCTGAAGGCAATGCTGGGAAATGGCAGCCTGGGAATCAGTTCACTGGAGGACGGGCTGAGGAGAAATGCTGATTTTTTTCAGGCAGAGTTTATTGAAGCTAGTGAATAATCACTTGACATCTTTATGTTTGAGGGCAGAAGAAATTCAGCTAGCGTTTATATGAGTGTTAGACCACCTGGGTGCCCTGCCTGTGTGCACGTGTGTTGGAGGTGCCTCCTTTTCTGGTACCTGACACGATGCACTATGAATATGTGCCTGCACATCAGTAGAAAGCCCGTGTCTGAGCATCACATGCTCCTAGCCAGAAAAAAAATATAAAAACTTGCCCTCATTTCTACGAGGAAGCAAGGCTGAAGGGGTTGGTGCTACAGTTGTGAAGGAGTTTAGCAGACATCGGCATTGCTTTGCTACAGAAACCTCCAGAAAGGTTATTTCTGACTTTAAGGTCGGAACTGAGGCTTGATCCCCAATCCCATGCTCAACCAGTGGCTGCAACGGGCTCCCAGCTTCTCTGAGGTGGGGCGCAGTAAAAACAAAACACAAACTGGGAAAATCATTCTTCAGCCTTTGATGCACACGGGGGTGTCAGCGAGGACAGGACCTGCTTTTCGCTGCTCAGCGTCAGCATTGCGTGCTTGTGTGTGAGGTATGCTAAAATAGGTACAGTCCTGGAAAATTTATTACCTCATAACTTATTTTCCATTTCTCCCCTTTGGGAGCTTGGGGTAGTCCCTGAGTGCTTGTTTCTGAGAGCACTGCCCTCAAGACCCAGGTCTCGTGAACATGTCCTTGAGATCCAACTTGCAAAGCAAGGCAGGATGGTTGGAGCAAGTGCTGTTTCTGCTTGTGAATTTACTTTCTCTTTACAAACTGGGAACTCTACCAAATGGTGAACTATCAGTGTGTGAGAGTGCTAAGACCTGCTGTAAATCTCTATTGAAGCTAAAACTGTTCAATTCATTGATCTTGCAAGGTATCCTGATTTTAAGGTTGGACTTTCAGAGCCAAGAGATTGTTTAACTTCCCATGCTAAGTATCTCGGATGCTTTGTTTTTCTGGGTCACACTGGGGACCGAATCAAATCCCCCTTTTTGTCTTGGCAGTCAGATTTTCTGAGGCTTCCTATGACTCTACCTTTCGCAAATGTGCTAATGTCCTTTGAGGCAAGATGAATCAAAGGTCCCTCTCCTACCTACTTGACAGATAGAGGCTAGGAGTGTTTCAAGATGAAGCAATTGTGTAGGAAGTGCGTTGTTACCTTATGGTCACAAGATGTGCCAAGGACTTGTTGTAGGGGGGGTGTTCAAAAGCACATGCAGGAGCCGATGAGACCGAGATAGGAGACACAAGGGGTGTGGGAAAGTGCTGAACAGACTGGGAGCGTTTCGGCCTCGGGTCCCACTCGGCCGCAGTGGAGGTGGCTCCTGGCGTGGGCAGTACCAGCAGCAGGAAAGCCTCTCGGAAACTGAAGATGCTGTTTCAGTAGGGAGGACAAAAATAAAGCATGCTATCTCTTGACTGAGTTAAGGAGGTAATCACAGCGAGATAACAAGTGGTTGATGACTGTCTCATTAGCAGGTATCTGCTTTCCTGTGGCATGTTTGCCTGCTGCTCCTGTAGGTACCACTGAGGAGGTTACGGATGAGCAGGTTTCAAATGGTTTGAGCACAGCCTGACATCCGTAGCTGATAATTAGAGCCCTTAGTCTTCCCCCTGAGCGTGCCGCTGCTGGCAGCAAAGGGAGGTGGTTCAAGCAGTGCCGTGGTCCCAGGTGCTGCCAGCCCCCAGAATCCTCCCAGTGCCGGGTGCAATTTTAATCTCTCTGCTAAATCGGGTGCTCCCTTTGCTGAGGGGTTGCTTTCTTCTGCTATCTCCTCTCCCTCTGTTGGACTCTTGTCCCAGTGGAGCATGAGATGGAGGAGCAGGCTCCTTTCTTGTCTTGCTTTAGCTGTCTTCTGCATCTTTTCCAACACTGTCATTCCTCAGACTAGAGGAAAGCGATTTAAAGCCGGTCATTTTGAAGGTGTACTGCAGCGGGATGAATGTTTTCAGCCACCCTGATGGGCTCCTGGTTTGATTTGGGTATTATCCAGGGTGGCCAGAGCCCGAGACTGTCTCCTGCAGCAATTTCTGCTTGCAGCCACCTCATTACTAGAAACAAGGGACATTGCTGGGATGACAAAATTACGTATTGTGATCACTTGCTGAGTGGCATGCCAGTCTGTAGTTGGTGCTGCCCAGGGTGGGGAGGCCTGTCAGGTGTGCAGTGAGCTGTAGCAGGACTTACCCAGTGTGCAGCCAGAAATCCCACTGGTGACTCAGAGGCTGATCTTCTCTTTGCATCTTTATGGAGCCAGTATCCTGGAGTATGTAGAGATGTGGTCCCTTGCCTCAGAAGCTGTCTGAGCTCCTGTCAAATTTGGCTGGATCCCGTCTGGCTTAAATCCTCCACCATGAGATGCCTGTCTGTTTGGCATGTTTCTGGGCTGTGATGTGAGTTTGTCAGAGTGAGCACAGAGCCTGTGAGCTCCTGCCTCAGGGCTGGGCTCATTTCAGTGATGAGGAACAATAACCTAAAGTTTTATTCTTGAGGATAAGAATTGCTGTATCTGGGAGGGGGAGAGTTCAGCACAGTACAGAAACACTTAACTGTACTCCCTGATTCATGTTAGGGTTTTTTAAAACATGTAACAAACTATTTCTGATAGGTAAAAGCACTAAACCAGAGGTTAAATGTAATTTGACTCATATGCCTTGTCTTCACACTTCTACTTGCTGTACCTTACCTTCTTTGATTGTCTATATATAAGAGGTGACATTGGAGAGCATGGATTTATCATGAAGATTTATTTGTCATGGAGAGATGAAGGAGCTGTCTGGCACTTGGGCGTTTCATATCAAGTTGCACTTCTGGCAGACACCAGTGGAGCATTTAAAGAACATCACGTTGTA